CCGATTTTAATAATAACGGGCAAGTGGCAGTGGATAAACTCACATTACAAATATTAGAAACAATGAGGTTATTACCATTTGCAACTTGAACAGAAAAAGTGCCAGTGTAAGTAGATTTACGAGATAAAATGCCTTCATGCGGGGTCATGTGAGCTGAAGCCCCAGAATCAGGATACCACACAGAGGCATTGGTTTCACCGGTAGCTATAGCCGCCAGTGTTGGGGTAGCATGAGCAAACCGAGAGCAAGCTAGAGCCGAGTGACCTGACGAAAAACAAAGCTGACAAACAACTTGTGGATGAGGGGACTGATAATTGTTCTCATTAGACGGGAACCCTGTAAAAAAATGGGTGAGTACCACAAGATGATATAGACTTAATACAAGACAAACCATCACCAATATTACTATACGCCGTACCTGGGAATCCAGTCGGAGCATGTCCTCGAACTGGGAAGGGAACACATGCCAGAGCACCACCTTGCTACTGTAATACCCGAGATTAATTTAAGAGGATTAATAGTACTACTCATACCAACAGAGGTGCATCTCCTTTAAAGGGAGCTCATCACCCAAGAACTCCAAAGTTAAGCGTGCTTGCACGGGAGTAGTCTTGGGATGGGTGACCCCCTGGGAAGTTTCTCAGGGCGCGCATGAGTGAGGACAAAGTGCGCGGTAAAGGCTCGTGGTGGTTTGTGGGGACAGTACTAGGGGTCTAGAGTAACTACCTCGGGTCCGTGTGGGGCCCCGGGGTGTTACAGGTGGTATCAGAGCAACCCTGCGACAGTGTGCTGACCCGTTAGATATCGGGTGGGCACTTAGCGGGGCAAGATTCTGGGGTTTTATTGAGATTGGTTTAAGGGCGCAACGAGGACGTTGCGATCCTAAGTGGGGGTGATTGTAATACCCGAGATTAATTTAAGAGGATTAATAGTACTACTCATACCAACAGAGGTGCATCTCCTTTTAAGGGAGCTCATCACCCAAGAACTCCAAAGTTAAGCGTGCTTGCACGGGAGTAGTCTTGGGATGGGTGACCCCCTGGGAAGTTTCTCAGGGCGCGCATGAGTGAGGACAAAGTGCGCGGTAAAGGCTCGTGGTGGTTTGTGGGGACAGTACTAGGGGTCTAGAGTAACTACCTCGGGTCCGTGTGGGGCCCTGGGGTGTTACAGCTACTGCCATGCGTTCTGACCAGATGGTTGCACGAAGAACGGAGCAGCCCCCTGCTGCTGTCCGCCGTAGCTACGGCCTCGCCCCTGATGTCCGCGGCCTCTACTGCCATCTCGATAGCCGCGACCCCCATTACCGTGAGCCTGGGCACCCCATCGGCCTTGGGATCGAGCAACGGCAGATTCATAGGCGGCGAACGCTTGATGACCTGGAATAGAAGCTTGAGAACGAAGATATAGAGTACTTGTTGTTCCAGCGCCATCAACTGTGGACGAAGTGCATCAAAGGTGAAGCTATCCGAAAATAGAGTGACAGAAGTAATAACAGATTCATACTCAGGTCCAAGACCTTGAATTGTGGACTGGTGTAGCTCACGGTTACTGACCGGGGAATTAATGGAATTTAAAGCATCCATCAAAATAATAATTTCCCGTAAATAGTCATCAAAATAATAATTTCCAACCGTTCCTAAATTAAAGCAGAAAATCGTAAAGAGTGAATCTCAATTAAAATATTGCGGGAGAGGGTAGCAAACAACCATGATCTAACAGTTTGACCAATTTTGAGCCATGAATGATAATCAGGATGAGATGACAAAGGGGCATGAATATAACCATCAACAATACTCAATAAACCATGCGACACCAAAAAAGACTCAAACTGGGTGCACCAAAGTAAATAATCATCCACTGTATTCAATCGTGTGGTAACAATATTAGTAACATTGGGGGTTGAGAATGTTAACTGAGATGCCAACGAAGACAATTGAGGAGATGTTACCGTGGTGGAGCCAGAAGGACGAGATGACGAGGGTATGTCCATCGGTGATAGTCTCGACTGTCCCGTGAAGGTTGGACCATAGAAGCGTGCTGCGGCCGGAGCTACTGGTCGGACAGTGATGGTGCAGACGATTGAAGGACCGGCGTAGGTGCAATAGGTGTCCAAGAGAATGGTTCCGGCATGCTCAAAAGATAATACGAGTTCAGGGAGGGCGGCGGCATGTTCAGCCATGCTGAAGAAAGCTGTGGCGAGAGAGTAATGTCGGTGGAAGGCTGCACCATGCTGAAAGCGAGCGCCTGAGGCAACACCACGGTGGTGGTGTGCGTTGGAGGACCGGCGGTCTGCGGCTGCACCGTAGGGTTGGGCGCTGTGGGTGGTGGAGGGCCAATCGACATTGATGCTAGGGTTTTGAGAATGAAACCTAGTCTACTCATATCATGTGAGAAAATAATTGAGAGTAAAGAATGGCTTACCTTATTGGGAGCCCTAGCACCATATTTATATTAATAAAAATAATGAGAGTATTTACATAGAAGTCATTATAATATTCTATTAGATTATACTAACTTATCATTACCAAAGAGATTTTGAGTTCACCTGACAACAACATCATCTATAGTAACTCACTGTGAGAATGTAATGTGACATGTCTTAGCTACTAGAGCATTTTTTCAATTTTGCTATAGGTACCCCAAACCCTACCCCATTTGTACCCCATATAGGCACCCCTCCCTTCCCCTTTCTTCTCCATCTCAAAATCTTTCCCCTTCTTTAAGACTTCCTATTTTTACCATCTTTCCCCCTTTCAACCTTGGATCTTCGATCTCCTGCTTATCTGCTCTTCCACTGGTGACGTTGCCGACATCGGGCCTACGTCGGTTGCCAACGGCGGGTCTACGATGGTTGCCATTTCGAATGCAACCTCAAGGGAAGACAACGACGAAGGCAAACCAAGAAGCTTTAAATAACTTGAGCAGCTGATCGATCTTCTTTTCTTGATTTTGTTTTCTTCATTTTGATGTATTTTCGAAATATAAAGGGTTGCCTGTGAGACAGACAACTTGTAAGTGCAGTGTCTGTATGTGTTAGTAAGACTCGTGAACTTGTATGTCTGTTTGTAAATTGTAATCGATGGTTAATTGTTTGTTATTTGTTTTGAGTTGTCTGTATTTGTTTTGAGTTGTCTGTATTTGTTTTGAGTTTTCTGTATTTAATTGTGAGTTGTCAGTATTTTGTGATGTTTATTTTTTGAGATGTAATTAGTATAACGAGGCAGACATTAAATATACACATCCAAACAATAAGTATACACATACAAACATTATTTTATTGTGAATTACCATTTTGGAATATGTTTCATAAAGAAGACAAACAATACGTATAACTAGACAGACAATAGAGATAACCAGATAGATATTATTTTCACCACAAATTACATACAACTCGCAATGAGATGACAAACAACTAAGTATGAGTTACAGAGAACTTCACAACTCAAAATAAATACAAACAACTAACAAACAAATGATAAACAATTAAATATCAATTACAGACATTAATTTTTCAAATGACAGGCAATTTCATGAATCTTACAGACACTGCACTTACAAGTTACCTGTCTGACAGACAACCCTTTATATTTCAAAAATACATCAAAAAATGAAGAAAACAAAATCAAGAAAAGAAGACTTGCTGCTCAAGTTATTCAAAACTTCTTGGTTTGCCTTCGTCGTTGTCTTCGCTTGAGGTTGCATCTGAAATGGCAACCACCGTAGGCCCGCCGTTGGCAACCGACGTAGACCCACCGTCGGCAACGTCACCGGTGGAAGAGGAGATAAGCAGGCAATTTCACGACTCTTAATGCATGATGTGCTATGTACACATGTACAATCTACCTTGACTATTTGATTTTTGATCTATGAATTTAGCTGTTTGGAGTATTGAAAAATGTTACTCTGTATGTTATTTGAATTTTTGATTATGTCATGTTGTTTTGAACTCAAAACCGTTTGTTTGACATATTATTATTAATGCCAGATGTCTTTAATTTGTATGATATCACTCATTATTATCACTTATTTGTTTTTTTTTTGTATAAAAAACAAGGGATTCGGACTGAATCTACCAGTTTAAAAGGAGCGGGTTAGGTTCGATTCCTATTATTGTAAGTCATGTACCAGGCCCGACCCTGCACTTTTAAAAATTAGATTGAACACAGACCGACCCAAATCATGTCTACCCCTAATTTGGGTTCCAACATGATAGAGAGATGTTGAAGCTTATGGTGATTTTCAGTCAAACTTTGGTGATGCATGCCTAATCTATAAAGTTGGACATGCTTTTGATAGGGACGACCGTTTTCGAAGGACCTGCTTGACTACTACTCTACTAGCCTTTCAAAATTTATTTAGAGAAAAAATATTATAAATACACCAAACTTTGAAGATGTGTGAGACAAATATCTCAAATTTGCATGTGTTATTTCTGAACTTATATAAAAAGTTATTTTTGTACCATCATTTTATGTTTTATAGAAATATAAAATTAGAGCAATAACTACATAATTTATTCGGATGTAGTAAAATTCTAAAATTTCATTTGTGAAGTAAATAATATTAATTCTGTACGAACTAACTTTAATTGCAACCTCATAATTGTTTTCTGTATTTCAAATTATGTACTTAACACCATAAAATTACATTTGTGAAAAAAACATATGATCATGATGCTAACATAACTTTTTATATAAAAGGTGTGGTATATATATTACGTGTGCAAGTTTGGAGAATTGATATCACACTCCTTCAAAGTTTGAGATATTTAAATTATTTCCCCCAATTTATTTAGATCGAATTTGTGATTTTAAAAGTTAAACTTTTGAGATCGATTGTTAAATTAGTTTAGTAATTAGAATTAACTATTCAAAAATTGTATTGAAAATTCTATATATTTACAAAATTTAATTTAGAATATAAAAAGTTTATTCAATAAATAAGTAAATAAAATCCAACTTTGTTAGTGAAGAAAATTAAACTTTGCAACACATTTTGGAATAGAACTGTATGAAATGTGAGATTTTATAAACAATTTGTGTGCATGTAATAAGTGTGATCCAACAAGCACAACTGCACAAGCACAACCGGAAGCAAATTTGCTACTTCAAATCCTTGTAGACATGCATGCGTATAGGTTTTCCACTCTGACCCAAAAGTTAATTAGATTAAAACAAAGCCAACGGGAATATTCCTCCTCAACTAGATTCCTTTTCTGACGTGAAGAATCCGCAAAAAACAACAAAGTCCTTAAAGGAATCTACCTCTACTTATAGAGATTCCCTTTCTACCTAGTCAGAGTATTCTGCATTCACTTTGTAGGAATCGTTTTCTTTTACCCCCTCCTTCCAATAATTTACTTCTCTTTTCGTCTGTTCCAAAAAGAACTTATCTTTCTTTTTTTGGTAAAGAATTTGTGATTCACAACAATTTTTACACATTCTTACACATTTCTTTCTCCTCTGCACAACTCTCCACCACACAATTCATACTTTCTTAATTCGTGTGCCATTTGTACTATGAAAGTAAATTCTGGGACAGAGGAAGTACTACAATGTTTATCATGAAGTTAAAAAATGGTAAAAAGAAAACGTTGCCTCAGTATAAATTTAGGGGCCATCTTTGACGAAGTGAGACATTCTTGTGCAGTATTCTTGGGAGATTGTTAGATTATTGAACTTATAGTACATGTGATATTCATAAAATATTATTGTATGTTACTCGTATACGCTATCTTATATATAGGCCCAATAATTAGTGGTCCTATGGATACTAATTTAAGTGAGCTGATTAGGTAATAAGGTACAAGGCTCAAATGTGTAGAAATCCATAGGCTTAACGTAATTAATGATGAGCTGATTAGGGTTAAACATTCTCTATATATAGAGGAGTTATGGTCCCTAGTTGAGCACATCATTCCGTCTTTCTGCATCCTATCGCTAGAGAGATAATTTCTGAGGATGTGTGTCAACTAGAAGACGCAAATCCTAGCCTCCATCTCCCGGATCTCCAATGGAGTCAGGTATGCTTCCGCTCAATTATTTTTTAGATAATTCCAATATGAAGATCAAGGTAAACGAATTATTTCTTAGATTTATTTCAACATCAATAGCTTTAAGAGAACCTCAATATACAAATGAGCGTTAAAGAAAAAAAACGCTAAAAATGCGTTAGAATTTGCAATCAAAGAGCAAACAATTCGTTTAACGATTGTCAGTATGGTCATATAACAAAATTAATTATACGTCCTATATTGTTGGTACAGTTTTGGAAGTTGGAACCATTTTGGCGGATCTTCTTACTAAATTTTGGATGTTCAAAAATATTTTACTATTAAAATATTACATAAAATTAAATTACATACTCCATCGTTCCTCAATACTTTGTCCTATTTGAGCAACACGGGAAATAATAAAGTAAAAATTTTGTGGTTTAGATATGTACAGATGAGAGGTAAATAACAGGAACCACAAATTCATTGATTAAAAGAGAAAGTGTCACAGTTTTTGGGACATCCAAAAAAAGAAAGATGACAAAGTTATAAGGGACGAAGGGAATACATAAATTTTTAACATGTATTTTTGTGTTTATTTTTCAAAGAGAATATTATCCGAAATAAGACTAAACAGTTTGAAAATTCCAAAATAGGACTACCATGTTTTTGTTCCCAAAATAGGACTAATTACTGCTATGTTTTAGCAGTACCTGACTTCAAACATGACAGTATTTTCTAAACATTGCAGTAATTAGTTTTATTTTGGGAATAAAAAACATGACAGTCCTATTTTGAAATTTTCAAACTGTTTTAGTCCTATTTTGAGAACTTTCCCCTTTTCAATTTTTTGGGTGTTCACATGAACACCCCTAAACCAAACACATCCGCCACTGCTTACGGAGTGTAACAATTTGTCAATTTATTTTTATTATCTTAATTAAAAGCTTTGTACAAATACCCAATCACATTGTTTTTAGAGGTATTTACCTAAATGGGAGTAATTAAATTCTTAATTACCAAAAAAGGACTAAAATTTTAAAATTCTTCAAATAGGAGTTATTATTTGTAGGTTGACAGAAATACCCTGAAGCTTAACAAATAAAAGTGCTATCGACAGACTGCCGGACCGGCCACCTCCGGCCTCCGACCGCCGCCGACTGCAACCTCAAAACTAGCCGCCGGTGCTGATTTGATTGCCGCTGCCGTAGATCTGGCCTCCGCCTCCCTAGATCGGGTCAGATCTGGCCTCCGCCTGCCACCGACTGCCACCCCTGCATATCCAACCGCCGACACTTCCGATCCGACAGCCTCCACCACATATCCGGCAGCCACTACGGCAGATCTAATGGACGCCACCCTTGATGCCAACATTTTTATGAAAATGCCAACATGAATCGAGAAAGCCATATTAATGACATTTTCAAAGAAAAATATGAAAATTTTAAAGAGTTAAAATGCCATTTTTATGGCATTTAAAAAAAATGGCAATTGTGGCAACAAGTAAACCACGCCAGTTTTATTTCACCATTATTGACAAACATAGCAATTTTCAAAACTGAAACATGAGGAAGAAGAAGAGAAAGCTATAGTAAGAGCTCAAACAAATTCTTATGTATATAACAAAAGAAAAACACAAACAGAGAACATGGATCCAAAGAAGAGAGAAGAAGACCCATGACCAACACCAAACGCACCAGATTTAGATGAAAAAATTTGAAAATCGGAGGAGTGCAAGAAAGAGAGACCCGAATCTCGCTACCACTGCTCTCCGGCACTCGCTGCCGCTGCTCGGCGGCGATTTTAGCCGACGCTCTTTGCTCGGCGGTGATTCTAGTCGACACTCACTGCTCCCTTGCCGTCGAAGCTATAGATGCGAGCGACGAATGATATGAGGGACCTAAGGGTTGAAATGAATTGGAGGGGTAAAATTGGAAGAAAGGTCCCATTTAGGGAATAAAATTATACTTACTCCTATTTGGGAATTTAAGCAACAACCTGGTCTTATTTGGAGGTATTTTCTCTTGTTTTTATCTTATTAATCAATGAATTTGTGGTTCCTGTTATTTCTGATTCCTGTTATTTCAAATTTTTATCTAATTAATCACATTGTTTTTATCTTATTAATCAATGAAAATAGAAACAGAAAATTGGAGATAGAAAAACTGAAAAAATAAAAACAGAAAATTGGAGAACGAAAAACAGAAGTAGAAAACGGAAAATATCTCTGTTAGTAATCATGCCCTAAGTTTTTATTGAGTGCATATCATGTTGTTCTTTTTACATATGATATAAATTATAACTATAGTAAATAATTATATTAAAGTTTTAACAGTTAGCTCAAAAAAAAAAAAAAGTTACACCCTCCACGAGACCTCGAGGCTCGAGCTATTTTATTCTTATTAACATAATATATGTTCATCCCGACAATTATCCCAAGAGGGCCTATTTCCAAAATGTAAAAAGTAATGTGAAATAAAAGATATTTGTGGAAGGGTTTGGTCCGGTACCATACAATCTTATATCCCATTATCATCAAAAAAATCTTAGATTCCATTCTTAGCTTATTAACGGACTTACTAATTAATACTGTTCAAAGCTTTAAAGTTGAGCGGTCCTGTGCAATTATGAAACCCCGTTACCCCGTGTCTTCCATTCAAAATGGAATCATTCCCCAAAGAGCAATTATGTTGGCAAAAATACCTAGTATGGCCAAGGATAGTTATACCATCAAAGATATTTTCTTGTTTTCTACTTCTGTTTTTCGTTCTTCAATTTTTTGTTTTTATTTTTCAGTTTTTCTATCTCCAGTTTTCTGTTTCTATTTTCAAGTGTTCCATTTTCAAATCCGAAAACATCTTCATCAATTTTTTCACTTGGTTCTGTGATCATCCGGAAGTCTGACACGTTACTTCACGGGTTACTAAATGGTGCTTATTAAGACTCGCGTTAATAAGCGACGCATAAAATAAGCAATGTTATAAGATCAGGTTCACTTCAAAAGGTTTAAAACACCGTTTAACATTAAAATATCCAAAATAACCTTATATATATATATATATATATATATATATATAAGGTTATTTTGGATATTTTAATATAGATAAACATTCATGAACACAAATATATAATATAATATGCGGGGTCGATCACCTCGTAGGCTCGTACGTGTACCCATACTCCTAACCCCTACCCTGCCCCTATACCTTGTACCCCACCCTACACCCTACACCCAATTCCACACCCTTGACCCTTACTCCTACCCTTACCACGATCTTACACTCTACCCATACTCCCCTAAAACCCTTCATACCCACCCATACCTACTCGTAGGGTTGGGGTAGGGAAGGAAGGTATGGGTGGGGGTGGGTGGGGGTTGGTGGGGGTGGGGTAAGGGGTATGGTCCGGGGGTGGGGTGGTAAGGTCTAGGGGTACGGGGTTGGGTGGGGTAATGGGTGGGGTAGGGTGGGGGTTAGGGCTAAGGGTGAGGGTAGTGAGTAGGATAGGGTAAGGTAGGGGTAGGGTAGGGAGTTGGGATAGGATGGCGGTAGGGTGGGGCCGAGATCGGGGTGGGGGTTGAGGTAGGGGAAGGGGTAGGGTGGGGGTAGGATGGTGGTGGGGGTAGGATGGCGGTACGAGGGTGGGGGTAGGATGGCGGTAGGGTCGGGCCAAGGTAGGGGGCATGTGGGAAGGGGTAACGTAGGGGTAAGGGGTAATATACGAGGTGGGGGTAGGGCAGGTTGGGCTGGGGTTGAAGTGGTAGGGGGTGGTGGTATGGTAGGGTGGATCAGGGTGGGACTGAGGGGGGCATGTGGTAGGGGTGGGGGTAGGGTGATTGTAGGGAAAAGGGGTATGCACGTGGATGGGTAGGGTATGGTAGGGGTAAGGTACGAGGATGGAGGTACTAGAATGGAATCGACATCGGAGCAGGACCGGGCCCACCACTAGGTGTAAGTATGCAAATTCATTGCAACGGCCTGTAGCATCTGCGTTTTCCAAATTTGGAAAACTAGTAAAAGTCACTTCTCCAAATCATTAAGGAAAAGAGAGACATGTCTCATTTTTTTCGTTTTGGAAAACGGTTTGGTAAACGCGTTTTTCTGTTTTCCTTTCTCTAGTTTTCCAGCAATTTTCTTTGGTAAACACGTTTCCTGTTTTCTGTTTTCCGTTTTCTATGTTTCCAGTTTTCTGGAAAAAACTGGAAAATATATCTGTTACTAAATAGGCCCTTATGTTCTTAAAAGTTATCGGGGGAAATGGAAACTAATAATCCAACCTTTTAGCGGTCTTCTTACAATAGTCCCACATTTTCGCTATTCAAGAATAATCCAACATTTGCACCCTATCTTCATTCAATGATCCCTGACCGGTTGATGACCCGTTATTCCAAGTTATTTTCTTATCTTTGTAATATATTATATCATAAATCCCACCTTATGGTCACATAATGTTCTGCAAAGATAAGAAAATAACTTGGAATAGCATGTCATCAACCGGTCAGAGACCATTGAATGAAGATGAGTGCAAAGATTGGATTATTCCTGAATAACGAAAAAATGGAATTATTGTAAGAAGACCGCTGATGGAGTAATGGGACTAGGCCCAGAGCCTAATCAGCCCAAGCCCTAACCTTGGACTCGTGGATCCAAGTCCACAACCTGGAGCCTGTCTGCCAGTCCGGTCGACCTCCCTTCCCGGAAGAGTAAAGGTCAAACAATTAATGCGCTATTAATAATGTATTTAACTCCGTATTAATGTTGTAATTAATAAGTCATTATTATCGGTAGCGGTTACGATTTGTATATGCCTATAAAAGGCGGGTTGTAATTCAGATTAGGGGAAACAATTTTGATAAGCTATTTCTGGCTACCAAATTCCCTTTGCAACTTTCCACATTCGTACTTTCCTAATTTCTGCTTGAGTGTTCTTACGTAGCTTTCCTAAAAGCATACGAGCGTCCTATTTTGGACCAACATTGGTGCTTTCATTGAGAGCTGAACTCAAGTGAGAATCCTTCCAAAAAATCAAAACATTCATCCCAAACACAAAAATCTAGCCAAAACTGTTCAGGAAAATCCAAAAAGGAAGGAATATGGAATTTCAGATCTGAAATTTCCAGATTTGGTTCGGAGATGCCACCGCCTGCGCACTGTCAACTGAATCTTGCTGCCACCCATTCCAGATTCTATTATCATGGCTGCAGAACTCGCATGCGCTGCTCCAAGTTATGATCGTCGCAGCTTTGAAGGACTCCACCAAAACTGGAGCTGTGGGCTCCATCACTCGTCATTGAGCACTCCTCGTTCGAACTTACTGCAACGTGATGAGGACCTGTCCCACTACAGCATCATCGCGGCGAAAGCTCCTGCGCCGTCGTGCGACGGTCATGGTGGGGGACGCTAGAGTGATAGTGACCGCCGGCCTGACATCCAGAGATCTCTCTCTTTGGGTCCAGACGATCATGACGGTTCTATATCTTCGTAATTGGATCTAATCCTATGTCATGAAGGGTCCGCTAGAGGGAGCAATGTCTGAAGGCTACGGTGTGAACACAGTCTTTCTTTGTGTGAATTGGGAATTTTGACTAAGTCAAGAATTTGAACCGACTTTGGCAATCAAAGAGCATTCAGAAGTTAAGTATTAAAAAAAATCATAAATTGAAACATTTAAAAAGATAATTAAGTGGTTTGATTGCTTTTACTCTTGTTAAGTGTGTGCAATTTTAATATTGAACAATGGACTTATGAAATCTAATCACCTAAGTACGCCGGACGAGCACACACACTCGTACACTGGCCGAACACACACACTCGCGCCACCGGGTCACGTCATATGGGTGTGACGATTAATAAGCTCCAATATAAATGTTAATACCGCACACTCTTGACTTCATACGAGTTCTTGCGTGCTCTTACCCTTTCCTAGTGCATCATCACACTCCGACCTCGGGGGACGAGTCACCCGTTCAAAAGTTTTTACTTGCGGGTTCAAACTACTAACCTCAGGCGGCGAGTTAAACTCTTGTTAGGGACCTAGAGCCACGCTCTTCTGAGCAATTTTGACACTTAATTGACATTCATATTTCTCGAAAAGGTTGATATACTTTAGTTCTTTGGGTTGGATTATCCGTTCGAGTGAGGAGTCTGTCTCACTTACTCGCGGATTCGATCTTTCTTTCGGAGACTGGGTTGAGGTCTAACTTGAGAACTTGATGTCACTCTTTTCAAATAGTGAGTCCAACTCACTTACACATTGAGCCGTGGTTCGGCACCAGGCCAGATGCTCTATTCTACACTTGTTTCTTTTATGTGTAGGTACAACTAAATGAAGCGGGGGACTGAGGGTCTTACCTTCTTCAAGGAAGCAAATGACGAACCTAACGAGTCTGAGCCCGACGAGAAGAACAGTTCTAGCCATCCTATTCGCAGATAGCGACCATTGCAATAAAGGCCGAGGATCTCACCTCTTGCTTCATCTTGGGGCGTCAAGTGTACTCTTTTTCCCTTCAAAAGGATTTTTTCTCATTGGGTTTTTTCCTAATGAAGGTTTTTAATGAGGCATCTCCCCAACATGGACAAGGGTGATGATCTTCTAGTCTCAGAGAAGAGCAATTGACTTGGACTACTCCCTCTTAACCGAGTCTACTACTCGACTAAGGGAGTGAGGGAATCGTGATGGAGTAATGGGACTAGGCCCAAAGCCTAATCAGCCCAAGCGCTAAACTTTGACTCGTGGATCCAAGTCCACAACCTAGAGCCTGCCTGCCAGCCCAACGGGGAGCCTGCCAGTCCGGCCGACCTCCCAGCTCGGAAGAGTAACGGTCAAGCAATTAATGCGCTATTAATAATGTATTTAATTCCGTATTAATGTTGTAATTAACTAGTCATTATTACCGGTAGTGGTTACGATTTGTATACGCCTATAAAAGTTGGGTTGTAATTCAGATTAGGGGAAGTAATTTTTATAAGCTATTTCTGGCTGTCAAATTCCCTTTGCAACTTTCCATATTCGTACTTTCCTAATTCCTGTTTGAGTGTTCTTACGTAGCTTTCCTAA